ACCTCTGGTGCAAATTACTGACCTCTGTCATCATTTTAAGTGGGGGAACTTGCACAATCGGTGGCTGACTAAATACTTTTTTGCCCCACTGTATAGCCACTGGTTTAGACATGTAGATGATTTAAAATCAAAACTGAAGAAGCAGAGGCTTTAACCAAACACATCAACACACTGGATGGATACATCAAGTTCACCAGGGGAGGACACCAAAGACAACAGGTTATTATTCCTGTACTGTGCTGTGCTCATTCTGGAGGATTGAAGCCCAAATGTTAAAGAAAACAACACACACAGACCAGTAGCTACTCTTTGACCCCCACCACCCACTGGCATAAGACAGCACTTAAAATATGTGGTTATCTAAACTGGGCCTTCATTAAGTCAGCAGATACATGGAAAAGCACCACAGATATTCTTTGCATATAAGATGATTTCAGTTTATCCAAGGACTATTAGTGAAAGGTAAGGTAACTTTTTTAATAAATCCCTTCCCATTAAAGACAAAGTCTGCGCTTGAATCATACATTGATTATGTGATTTTTAATCTACAGTGGTGATGTACTAAAACTACAAAAACTGTTTATTTCCTAATCATCATCTTCAACTTATTAATCAACTCAGATGGACCTTTAACTGATTTCAATTAAAACTGTGCTCCTCCTTTATTGACAGAAACCAACCTGAAAGTGAACCCTACTGTGAGTACTAAAGGGTAACCGGTCTTAAAGGATCTCGGTAATTTTAAAGCCCAGCAGGCATACAGCGGAGATGGGGGAGGGTCTGTGCTGGCGGACATTGGTTACTGGCCTGGTAGCCTGGGAGGATCCGGGACGGGCGTGGAGGCTTGGGGGTCTGTAGGTGCTCCGCCCCCCGGTCTGGGGTGCTGGCCGGGCCTTGGGGGCTTGGGTCCTGGCTGTTGTGTCGCCGGAACAGTGGGCGGGTGGGTGCAGGTGGGCTCAGCCCCAGTGCAGGGGACCTCTGGTTCATCGGCCCAACTAGGGGGCTCTCTAACTGGTGGGGAGGTTGTTATATCTTTGCAGGTGGTCTCCTCACTACAGGAGCTTACTCTGCAGGTGGGGGGAGAGATTTAGGAGAGGTGGAGAATGAACTCAACCTGGGTGTCTATTGTCTTGTGTAGTTTGGGAGATGATTGGATGATGGGGTGGGTGCAGTCTTCTCTGGGGTGGAGTCAGGTGGGCTGCCTCAGACTCTGTGGGGCTGGGCGTTGCTGCTGCTGCGGGCCCTCGGTCCGGATGGGCCTGGGCCCCCTTGCCCTGGTGGGTTCCAGAGTGTGGGGTGCCTACTGGGGTCAGCGGGGGAGCTGGCCCCAGGGAGGGGCCGCTTGCCCCTCCCTTTCTTCCCTC